ATATATATATATATATTGTTATATATATATATATATATATATATATATATATATATATTGTTATATATATATTGTTATATATATATATATATTGTTATATATATATTGTTATATATATATATATTGTTATATATATATTGTTATATATATATATATATATATATATATATATATATATATATATATATAAACAATATATATATATATATATATATATATATATATATATATATATATATATATATATATATTGTTTATATATATATATATATATATATATATATATATATATATATAAACAATATATATATATATATATATATATATATATATATATATATATATATATATATATATATATATATATATTGTACAATTGTATAACTGCATAAATATAAAACGATATATAAATACATATATACATCAACTATAGACAGGTATTCAAAAGTTTAAAGTTATACAAACACACAGAAAGAAGAGATATCAATTATAAATAGCCAGGTGTAGACAGATGACTAGATAGAAACAGACAGATAATGCAATAAGGATACTATGATAGACAGATATGTATAAGAATAGTAAAAAGATATATGGATATTCAGAGATAGCAAGCAAAAATACAGACTGATGATTTAGATGCCACAAAAAGAAAGAAAGAAAATAAAGTTAAGACTGACTAAGGAAGAAGAAAAAAAAAGCTTTATTTAACTTTAATCTTCTTGCAACATAAAATCTAATGCATACCTTCACTCAAAAAAAATAAAAAAGCAGCAATATTAAAGTTCAAATCTGAGGTGAGAATATGCCAGTGGCAGGACAAAGAAGCGAGTTGCTCATGGAATACAAAGAAACGGATGAGAGATTGATCAGCTGCCATTCTAGGGATTAGTACCAGACCTAAAAAAAAAAAACTGCCGTTTCACTCACAGTGCAGTATGTACATAATCTATGAATGCTACACACTTATAGGAATCAGTCACTTCAGAGGTCATTTAACCCCAGTTTGTTCCATGGTGGTCAGTGCATCGTCTATCTTATCTCTTGGTGAAAGAACCTGGGTGATTTCTTATCTCTTGTTCATATCTCATGGTGTTTTGTTAAGTTGTTTCTGAGGTGTTTTTGTGGCTATGAATGCATATTGATGCAAAGTATGATGTAGAATGTTTTGTTAATAAGTTCTAGTTCTTAACAAATTCATTAAAACCATACATGATACAGGTAATAATGACTAACCCTAATAGTAATATAAAACTACTGCAAAGCAGCGCATTGCTTAAGATTTATGATTTCCTATTACCTTGAGAATGAGTAAAATTATATAATTGACAAAGAAATTGGTTCCATGTTAATTTAAATAAATGCTATATTTATATGAGACTTGGCAACATGCATTTCCTTTCAAGGTTAGAACATCCTGTCTCCTTTATCTGTTTTTCAACATTGTAATGAAGTGACAACTAAGAACTTTGTACTCAGAATTCCATGCTATTCAAACTTATTAAGTTCTAATGCATGCACTTCTTAATAGGCTCTCAAAATGCACAAGAGTGCATTGTAATTTATATATTTTTATGGGTATGGTGTCTTTAGGTACATCTAGAGAAATACTTTTTAATTATGTGCTGGCATTTACGTAACTGTTGTCCCTGATGATAAAAAGGTTTTCAGTAAATTTTCGGGGTGTTCATCATGGTAAAAGTTTATAGCCACTAGTTACTCTTTCTGATGGCTACACCGGCTTCCTGTTTTTCCTTCCATATTTATCACTTGCTGTTTGCTGTTTATGAGTTTTATGTATTTTTTTTTAGAATACATGAAGTCATGAAATATTCTGCATGCATTGTGGAGATTTATCTATTTATTGAAAAAATATCTGCTGCTTCATCTAAGGTCAGCATTGTGGAGACTGGCTGGCTCAGGGAAGTACAGCAAAAGTGACATTCTAATTCTTAAGTTTGTCAAATGCAAAACAAACACATTAGGTTCTTTATCCTTAATAAATTCAGATTAAATATTTTTTCTATTACCATCTCTAAGTAAACACTTGAATTAATAATCTCAGTTTTTGCTCGTTAGTCTATTGCTGAACTGAACTGAACAGAAAAGATTATCAATCTACTCTTTCATTCTTGGATCAGCTTCTTGTTTCTATGGATATCAATCAGCCAATAATCATCTTTCTCTTTCAGTGGCATTGAAAATGTTGAAATATTAATTGTATCAACAATTATCTTTTTGTTCTAGTCTAACAGTTTTTGATTCTGTATTGTGTAAATATTCTTAGAGACCTATTTCTCCAGGGATTTTCTGTTTCATGAAAATTACTGATATTTTCCTTTCCCTTCACCTGTGTGTACCTAACCATGTGTAAAAATATCTGTTAACCATATACCAATACTGAGAATTGATCAAAATTGGGATGCTGAATTTACTATTTACAAATGAACAGTTATTTTTGTTGATTTCAAAATTGTTCTATGTATAATAATTCTTTATATAAAAATATGAGCAACTTGAGAAACTATGGCTATCCTGAAAACCTTTGTTGCTTCTAGTACTTTCAATAACAGACTACACTTCTTAACAGTATTTTAAATTATAATCCTTTGAAGTTGAAGCAAATCCTAAGAAAAATTAATCTTTGCCAAAAATATTTTCTTATAGATGATGGACCAATAGGCAAGAGAGGTAGTTACCTGCTCAGTTTTATCATCATCGTAACAGGTGTAAAGCTATTCTTTCAGCTATTATATGGTCCTGATTTAGTATTTTCTATTTTCAAGAATTTTATATCAAAAAAAGAAAAGAAAAAGAAAAAAAATATATATATAATATAATAATATAGAGACATACTTTTATGAGGATTTTCTTACGATGTCCCAAAAATCTTGCAAGATGCAAAAAAAAAAAAAAAAAAAAAAAAAAAAAAAAAAAAAAAAAAAAAAAAAAAAAAAGGAAAATAAATAAATAAAATATAAACAAGAAATGAAAAAAAAAATTGTATATATAAAGATTCAGGATAAAACATTCCAATAGCAGTAACCTCCTGGCAAAAGCACAGAACCTGAATTGACGAGGTTTCACTGTGCTGCCTTCTCTGAGCTCAGTTTGCACCCACCTTAGAGGGATCAATAAAACACATCAGGGTAAAGCTTTGTGGTTGTATTTTTTGTAACCAGCTCATTTTTATAGTGCAATTTTACATGTGACAGTTATTCATGAGTACTACCACGGAACCAGAACTAAAAATATAGCCATGACCCTAAAGAGTGAAACCTTGTTAACTCAAGCTCAGTTCCATACAAACTGATATAAAACAGAAACAGAAGGGAAGATTTACAAAAGAAAAGGTACAGTAGTTTACTACGCTTTGATCAACTATTATGAAGTCAAGTTCATACAAGAGGCAGCTGTACAAGTTTGAACTTTGACTTTGTAGCTACGGGTGACAGTTCCTTGCACCACCGGCCCTGGGCTAGAACAGGTAGACGTCAAAGTCCATCAAGTCACTCAGACTGAAATCAAGATCTGGAATGTCCACACTATTATCAAACGTACTTCCTGTAAATGACTGTTTCCTGGGACGTCCACGCTGCCTCTTGGCTGGAGGTGGACCTGTGTGCTCCTCGGGAGAGACCGCTTCCGAGTGGGACACAAGGGGAGGGTTGTTACTCCCAACCGAGGTCAGTCGCAGGCTGGCATCCACCTCCATGCTGCCCACACTGTCCAGGTCGCCAAGGGCTTCCTCTAAGGCCTCTTCCAAGTCCAGAATAGGCTCTAGACGGTCCTCCTCTTCGCAGTCAACCGGACAGCCGCTAGACAGGCTGCAATGTAAAAGAACCTGCAACTTGTCCTCACAATACAGGGATAGGTCGTCTCGAGGCTTTCAAGATTACATGCCCCAGACGGTAAGATAATGCTAGGGGCAGGGGGATAGGTTTTTGCTGCCAACAAGATGCTCAATATATAAAAAAGATCATTCAAATGGACTAAGCTAGTATCAAATTGAAAGTTATCTTTGAAGTTTAATCATTTCCTAGATTCTAAGTAATATTACTTTACAGGCAGCATACAAAATAATCTTCAAAGTCAAATATATCTGATAAATTACAAGTCAATATGTAATGAAACTATGCCATAAGTTGCTTTTCTGCCCCTATCATTCACTTCAATGAAGTTTACGAGATACATTACTTCTTCCAATCTCACAACACCACCCTTATACTTACTCTAATGTTAGTCAAGTACAGCACTTGCCCAGAGTCTGGGATTAAACCAAAATACCAGTTTTTTTTGTTGTTGTCCGACATCAAAACCAATGGTCTGGAAAACAGCTTTTGGAAACTGCATTATGAAAAGATGGAAGAGCCAATAATGACAAAAATTTTGTTGCATATGTTTCTTTTTTTTTTTCTTTTTTCTTCTCTTTAATCAAAGTCTACCAGATTCTCTCAAGTGCTGTTCTTCTGAGCCAGCCTTTGCAAGCCAGTCCAGATTCATACTAGGATATCCAAAAAGGGGTGAATTAGATAAAATTTGAAAACACATCAAGGTAATATAAAAGTACATGTATTTTTTTTTTTTTTTTATACAAAATTAAAATTTTGATATTTCATCCTTTTCTTTTTTTTTTTTGTATTTTCCTTTAGTTCACTTAACTAAACCCTAAACAAAGGGAATCTGGCCCAGTTACGTTCAGCTGACCAAAATGTCGGCTCTGTGTCAAACCAAAATCAGCTGTAAAGATTGCCTGATTACTGGTATTGTCTTTAGCCAATTTCTGCCTGCTCTGATGGTACGTGAAAATTGACAGCTAGTTTAAACAAACAAGTCTTAAGTTTAAAAACATACTTTTCTTAAATCTATCATTAGCTTAAATGTAGAACAAGAAGATGACCAAGTTCTGTAGACCTACCCATGCATGAAAACCTGAAAATAAATTGTTGGTCATTCTCTATCAAAAATATAGGCAAAAGAGTGTGTGAAAATTTCTTCTTTAGATCTATGGGCTATGGATTCTGGAGCAATTTCAAATAATAAACAAGTAAATCAATTTTAGAGTAAAAACAATTAAAGTTCTAGGTCCGTAAAAAATTTCCTTATCCTTTTTTTTCTCCTTTTTTTTTTTTTCCTCCTTCCTCTCTTCCTTTCTCGTCCTTCCTTCCTTCCTTTCTCTCTCTCTCTCTCTCTTTCGCTCTCTCTCACTTTCTTCTTTCCTCTTATTATTTCTCTCTCTTTTTTTTTTTCTTTTTTTTAATGTCTTGACTAAAACTGAGAAAAGTTCTAAAAAAGGTCACAAAGAAAATTGAACGTACATCTACATGAATTGTGGTATAGGAACGTGCAATGGGTATTGGGTTGATGTCGAGTTAGATGTCAAAGGTTCAAACTAGTGATGGGGTCAGTCGACAATGAGATGAAGCGACCCACAAGTTCGCTAGCCCCGTTGTCGCCACGCCAACAACCGGCTACGGCCAAGATTTCTGAAATTGGGAATTCTGGCATAGGTATGGTTGCATCAGCAGCAGAGAGAGATCTGCCATGAAAGTGCTGAGGTCCAACACCGTCACATATGAGGGAAGCAGCCAATGCAAGCGGTGCGTGTGCGTGTGTGCGTGACTTGACTTTGGATCCTTTTTGACTTCTCTTGAGCAAAGATTTCATCAGAGTTGAGCCTCACTTGAGGAGGGGGCACTTTTTTTTTATACGCTCGTACTAGCTGGTCATCTCTCACATGTAGGGGGATTTTATATGTCCTTCTTACTTGGGACTGATCCCTGAGGAATGATCATCTATTGCTCTAAAAAATACTTAGTTTGCACATCAGGAGAGACTGCCTTAAAAGTAATATTATTCTCTCTAGTCTAATGATAAAAGTCTAATGCAATACAGATCAGAGCAGTGCTAAGCATACCTTAAAATTAATACACATGAAGCATTGCAAACTGTCCCCAGGTTGGATACATAATAATTTGCTATGATTCAAGTGTGTTCAACTTAAATAAGTTTGGGCTTGCTATCTCTAACATTCATAAAAAAGGGAATGAGTTAAAAATAAACAAAAATAACCAAAAAAAAAAAAAAACAAGAGAGAACACACTAAGATTACAAAACAGAAAATAAAAACATCGTTTCAAAAAAAAAGTAAAAAAATTCAAAATGAAAAATCATTTTTTTTTTATTATTTTTTTTTATATACACTGTCTCACACTAAGTTAGAGTTGGAGCAAGCCTTCCTAGACAACAATGTTAAAAAGAGTTTATCACACACTTACGGAACACGCGGACTGACATACCTCGGAGAGATGGGTGAGGGTGGCAGGTACGTGTACTGATCGACGGAGTTGTTGAGTGAACTCAGCTGATCAAAGGTGTTGGAAAGATCCGGGGAGCTCAGGTGGTCTGGCGTATCAATGTGATCTGGCGAGTCCAGCTGTATGACCTCCGCTTGCTTCTGCCGCAGCTGCTGCTGTTGTTGCTGCTGTTGCTGCAAGTGATGTTGCAGCTGCAACTTTATTTGTTGTTGCTGCTGCTGATATTGCTGTTGATGGAGGTGGAGGTGGTGGAAGGGAGATTGTCCCAGTTGGATGTGAGACTCGTTTTCTTGGCGACCCTTTGACTTGCCTCCAGTACTACTGGTCACACGTTGTTTGTTCACAATGTAACGGACGGGCTTTCGCACTGTTGTGCGGTTTGTGGTCTTTTTGTACAAGCGCCTTGGCTCTTCGTGTAGCTTCTAGAATAAACATTTGCAGAAAAAAAAAAGATAATGAATTAAAGTAAAATTAAAATGACTAGAGAAAGCAATCTGTTAATTTCCTACTGCCCTTGCTAAAAGCCTTTTCTCTCCCTAACAATACCACACTGAAGTTCCTCTGCCTAATTGCTACTAAATTTCCTTTCCATTCCAATCTAACTTTTATTTTCCAGAACAATGCCAAGGCCACCATAAAACACAAAAACTTACATCACTACTTATAAGGCCGCCACTGGCCACCTACTCAGGTATCAACTACAACACTAACCTACAACGACAATGACAAACTGATGCCAGAGCACCCCTGCTACCAAACTTACTTTGCCTGGTTCATGGTTGTGGTCATGACAGATCTCCTTCACAACAAGAGCTTGGCCATCATTTGATGTTGATAACCGGACCTTGAACGGGCAGCCTCCCGCTGACGTCCTAAATGGAGGCAATTGAGTGGGTTAGGCATATTATATTAATGCATTCATCAACCCCTTGGATTTCATAATTGATAGAAATTAGATAATGAATAGCATTATATAATAAAAAACAATATCATAATACTATTGCTTTATGGTGTTAATCCCCCCCCCCCCTTCTGCATATACCAACAACTTACTGATTGTGTGTCTTGGTTTGGTCCGAGGGTCTTCGCCCACCAAAGACGCAAGAATAGGTCAGCTCGGCATATTTAAGAGCTGGGTTGAGGGACTTGCGGCGCGCCCTCTTCGCTGCGGCTACAACAGTCCTCG